TTAAAAACATATTAAAACAGTAAAAGTCTACAAAGGCAAACAAAGCAAAAGAATTCATGATTTTGGTAAAATCGAATAGAGAGGTGTTTGCTCAGATTAAAAGTCTGTATGGCTTTTTAAAAATTATTATTATTATTCATGAAACTCCACTTAATGGAAGTTAGTCTTTCCATCACAGATAAACTTCACTTATGGGTCAAGACTGGTGAATAATTGATAGATAAAGGAAAAAAAGAGTTTGTACTCCAAAAAATGCAGATACCTAGCAAAAAAAGAAGGAACTCTAGAAAAGGTGTTCCTTGCCATTAAATCTAAGAATCTCACTCAGGAGAAAAGAGTGTCTATGTTTAGGTCTTTCTTCTTGCCATGGGGAAAGGTTATAAGAAGTCTATTTCTCAGAACTGGCTGAAGGGAATAATGATTTTCTTCCCTTGTTTCTTCAGTTTTGGCCAAGTCAAGTTCAAATCTTGAATGTCATTCTGAGAATAGTCGCATGGTTTCTTTTGGTCATTAGGTATAAGAGACATAGATTCACTTCTAGCTTTAGTATGATGCAATAACATCTTCAATATATTTTTTACTCATTTGCGTATATCTTTATCCATTTGAGAATAAACTCTTCACTGTGTTCTATCTCAGAATAAGTTTGTCCAGTATGCCTCCACCTTCCCTCCCTTCACTCTCACTCCCTCCATATCCATTTCTTCTCTTCTGTATCTTTCCTACCCAAGAACCTTATGCTCTCTGCTAGGTGCCTATTTCCTAAGAAAAGCAAGCAGACAGCAGACGTAAGTTTTAAGTGATAAAGTGCTTGACCTTTTGCATATTTGCAGTTTAATAAGGAAAAATGTATACAATGAGAAGAGAGGTCCTTAGAATCTAAACAGGCTGTAGTTGAAAGAGTTCACATATCTTATAGATGAGAAAACTAATTTATTTTAAAATGTGAAATAACTGGGGTTAAAATCAAAATTCTTATCCTGAATCCATGGTTAGGTAAAATTGCATGAGGCATTTAATTTATTATTAAAAAGGAAATGTTTCATAAAATACATGAAAATTTGTTCTTTTCTTTCCTTTTCCTTTCCTTTCTTTTCTTTTCTTCCTTTCCTTTTCTTTCCTTTCTTTTCTTTTCTTTTCTTTTCCTTTCTTTCTTTCCTTTTTTTCTTTCCTTTTCTTTCTTGAGATGGAGTTTCACTCTTGTTGCCCAGGCTGGAGTGCAATGGTGTGATCTCGGCTCACTGCAACCTCCACCTCAGAGGTTCAAGCAATTCTCCTGCCTCAGCCTCCCTAGTAGCTAGGATTATAGGCATGTGCCACCACACTTGGCCAATTTTGTATTTTTAGTAGAGACAGGGTTTCATCATGTTGGTCAGGCTGGTCTCAAACTCCTGACCTCAGGTGATCTGTCTCCCAAAGTGCTGGAATTACAGGCATGAGCCACCACGCCCAGCTGAGAATAGAGAATTTGGATGTACACTACAGAAACCATATTGGTGCCCATGACACTTAATTCCACAAACATAACTGTGACAGACACTGAATAGTTTAATGATACTTAAGTGAAAAACAACAAAGCCTCACATCTGGACAACTGATATTTTATCTCATGGAAGTCTGAGTTGGCCAACTGTACTTTCCAGAGATGCTTTCACAACAAGTAGGTAGAAGTTGGGATTACTGGAAGCTCAATAGTTATTCCCTAAAGGGTTCACCACCTGCTTTGTAACCACCTGGCAGATGCATTCATATTGCTTTGGTCCAGAAGTTCTGGACAGGCAACTAACACTGGGCTTTTATTGTCCTGTTCAGGAAGTCATCCTTCATTGTGGGAGTGGAGTGATCCCAAAATGAAGTTATAAATGGGCTGGAATCTAAAAGTAAAAAGTAGGTAGAAGATACGCAACCAAGTTCCTCTCCCAGTGTTTTCCAATGCTAGCAAAACTCATTCCTGCTCCAAGTAGAATATTTGATAATTATAGAGAATGGTTTTAAGGACGCAATCATGTCAGAGATGCTAAAATTGTATTTTCTTAGCACATTGAATCAATCTTTTAAAAATAATTTTGTTTGCTACCTCTGAAAGGAAAAGAGAAACTAAGTCAAAATAACTAGGGTTTTTGTTTGTTTTTAAATATTAGTTACCTGATTGAAAAATAATAATAAAAGGTTGGTGTAATCACCAATGTCTTAGTCTCAGTGCTTCTCAGTAGTGATGTTTTTCTCTCTTTGTCTTTTCTCCTCTAATTTCTTTATATTTTGTTTTCTGTTATGAAACTACAAAACTTTTGTCATTGGTTTCTGCTGAAGTTTTAATAAACAATCTGAATTACTTATTTAAAATAAGTGCTGTTCTTTCAGTTAAGGACCAAGGCTAAATCCCAACCTGAAATGACTAAATAGCTTTGTAACTTGCCCTAAACCCAGCATCAAACTTTACCTTGAAGTTATCAGTTTATCTTTCTAAATATGCTGCTTCAGATCTAATTGTCTTCACGTTATAGCTTAAGCAGGTTGTCATGAAAACTAAGTGTTATATTCAAATAATAAAATTAATTCACCATATACTAGCAACCCCTGGCTTTATACTGTTGTTAGCATTTTTAAAAAGGGTATTTGGTTTAAATCCATTTTGCCACAACATATATTTTTTTCTTCCTTTTCAACACATATAAGTGTTTGCCACTTTTACTGGTGTCACCCAGTGAATTCATATGTTCAAATTGCTTTTGTCACGTGAACAAGAATATGTTTTTCCTTTGGAATTATGTGAAAGTCATTGTGAGATGACAGCTATGTCTGAAAAAAGTATGTTACTTTTATAAACATGTAAAATACATTCCTTTAATAAACATTTTATAGTCCTTGAGACAGAAACCATTTCTCTCAGCAAATATACGAGGGTTATTTTGACAAGTAAACCAATAAAGGTGATTCATCACGTAAACATTACTAAAGACAAAAACCACATGGGTATCTCAATAGACACAGAAAAGACTTTTGATAAAATTCAACACCTTTCTTGATAAAAACTCTCAATAAACTAGGTATTGAAGGAACATAGTTCAAAATAATAAAAGCCATCTATGGCAGACCCACAGCCAACATTATACCGAATGGGCAAAAGTTGGAAGCATTTCCCTTGAAAACTGGCACAAGACAAAGATGCCTTCTCTCTACCACTCCTATTCAACATAGTTTGGAAGTCTTAGCCAGAACAATCTGGCTAAGAGAAGGAAATAAAGGCATCCAAATAGAAAGAGAGGAAGTCAAACTATCCCTGTTTGTGGATGACATGATTCTATATTTAGAAAACCCCACAGTCTTGACCAAAAAGCTTTTTCAGCTGATAAACAACTTCATCAATGTTTCAGGTGCAAAATAAATGCACAAAAATTAGTAGCATTTCTACACACCAACAACAGTTAAGCTTAGAGCCAAATTAGAATCCCATTCACAGCTGCCAGAGAAAGAATGAAATACCTAGGCATACAGGTAAGCAGGGAGGCAAAAGATCTCTACAATGATAATTACAAAACACTGCTTAAAGGAATCAGAGGAGACATAAAGAAATGGAAAATCATCCCATGTTCATAGACAGGAAGAATCAATATAATTAAAATGGCCATACTGCCCAAAGCAATTTACAGATTCAGTGCTGTTTTTATCAAACTACCAATGACATTCTTTACAGAACTAGAAAAAAAACTATTTTAAAATCCATATGGAACCAAAAAAAGAGCCTGAATAGCCAAGGCAATTCTAAGCAAAAAGAGCAAAGGTGGAGACATCATGTTACCCAACTTCAAACTATGCTACAGGGCTACAGTAGCCAAAACAGCATGGTACTGGAACAAAAACAGGCGCATAGACTAATGGAACAGAATAGACAGCCCAGAAATAAGGCCATACACCTATGACTACCTGATCTTTGACAAAACTGCCAGAAACAAACAAT